CCCCCCCCCCCCCCCCCCACTCCTCTAAAGGGCCACGGCCTTGAGATATCATCATTGAGCTGACCGGCCCCTCTGCAATTCAGAAACATTTGGCTTTACTCATCAAGCTCCGTCATCTGGATTGGAAGTATTTCAACAGTTCATGCGTATACCCCCTGAGCTAGGCTCTCGGGTGCACAGATATCAAGTTCTATTTATGTGTATCGGCTGTCAAACGTGAGTGGTACCCATCAAGAGAAATCGGTTCGCGCTTGATACAAACACGATTCGAACCCTTAACCCGAAACAAATGGATTCGTGTTTGTATTTTGTCAGCAGCCCATACGAACAAATAGAAATCGGTTCGAGCCCAGATGGATACTAACTCGATTCGAACCCTTAACCCAAAACGAATGTTTGTATCGGCTGTCGAACGTGATTTGTACCCATCAAGAGGAATCGGTTCGAGCTTGATACAAACACGAATCTCGATGGGCACTTCCATGTATCGGCTGTCAAAATACAAACATCGGTGGACCGATTTCTCCTGAAGAAAACGTATCACGAATCAGTGATCGGGAACGGTGCAATTTTTCTCCTCAGATTTTCAATTTTTTAGTTTTGTACTTTTGGCGCCGGATCCTGCAGAAAACGTGTGAGTTGTATTGAACCCTCCCGCGGACTCTCTGGCGATTGACTTATTTTTCAAAACGTCCGTGAATTATTTTTCAAGTCTGCCCTCCGAAAGGAAGGGCAATTCTGCCAATTCCTCGATTGCGGAGGGCCACTTCACTTCCTCCTCGTTTGCGGAAGGGCACTTCACTTCCTCCTCGTTTGCGGAGGGGCACTTCACTTCCTCCATTCTTGAAGGGATGGGGGAAAAAAAAAGTTATTTGCAAAAATCTGAATCAAGGCATGCCTATCTTTAGGATTCGACGCTCCATTATTTTTATTTATTCGGCGCTCCATTTTTTGGTGGTCAGATTTCTTTTCTTTTTTCCTTTGGTCAAGGCAAAGGATAAAGCCAAGTATGATTATGACACATTCTTTGTGAACATAAAATATTGAATTCGCTGCTTTGTGGAACTTCTAGTTTGCAAAATGTTTTTTTTTTTTTTTTGTTGGTTTGTTTGTTCCCCCATTCCCCCTCTTCCCCCCCTTCCCCCCCTTCCCCCCCCCCATCCCCCCCGGCGGGCCCCCTTTGCATGCGTGCAGAATGTTTTTCGCCTTTTGGTGTTGTCAGAACAAAAAATGAATCTTGGATTCGAGAAGCATTTGTTTTTTTTGGAATTACCGTGTAGTATGCCGCTGTTCCCTCCCCTGTTGGTTTGTTTGTTCCACCCCTTCCCACTTCATGCGTGCGCGCTCATAACCAATGTTTCTTGCCTGTGGATGATGCTGAAGAGGGAATTGATCTATCTAGCCACTTTATAATTCCATCTTGTCGATCAATGCCAACATCACCATCATACGAGCGCGCAGGCATGAAGCGGAACCATCCATTACCCCAGGAAAAAAAGAAGTTTGAATTGAAAAGAAGGCGGGGGAGGGAAGCGGCAAACAGATCAAATCGAGAGTTTTCCTTCCGCCCGTCAGGCCTATGCAGCCAGGAATTCGGATGGATGGCCATTAATTAGGAGGTCTCGCTGAGGCAGTGATGGCTGTTGCATTGAATAAGCGATCTGTAAGGGGTAATTAATGATCGACTTCCTTGTGATGCGATTCCAAAGTCCATATAACGACCATTCCCCCCCCCCTCCCCCACCCTCCACCTCCGCGCGCCTTCCCCCCCGCCCGGCGGTGCCTCTCCCCGCTCCCACCGCCACCACCACACACACACACTTCACATGCGGACAACGCACCAACGTCGGAGGATCGGGATCTCTCCCCCGATCCCTGCTCTGTGTCCACTCTTCTTTTTTCTTTTCTGTTTGTTTGCTTTGTCTCTACTCTGATAATTCGTAACAATGAAGTCTTTTCCTCGGCCTTCGACCCCCCCCCCTCTCTCCCCCCCCCACACACACCACTCCGCCCTCCTCCCCGGCCTCGGCTAACATACCCAAAGGAAAGAAATCTGCTTCCAAGAGCACACCTTAGCTGCGCGCCAAGCGCAGATCCTTCGTCCTGATCTCTCTGCATTAATTTCTCATAAAAAATGTGTGCATTCTATCTCTACGCTGATGCGTATGTAATTCCATCTACACCCATCTCCTCCATGCGTATGTAATTCCATCTACACCCATCTCCTCCATGAATCTATCTGTCCAATAATCAGACCTGCTCTTAGCGGCCTTTGATCTAATGCACCCTTCGCCTCCATCTATCTATCTATCTATCTGTCTGTCTCTCCGCCCAGTAATTACAGAAGGAAAGGGATTCGAACCCTTAACCTCAAATCTTACTTAGCGGCCTTCGATCTGATGCACCATTCGCGTCCATCTATCTATCTGTCTGTCTGTCTATCTGTCTATGTCATAAGCAGATCTAATTCTTAACGGTCAATGCAATGAATCCTCTTGGCTCATGAATTCAGAAAAATTACCTTACCTCTCGAGCTCCCTTTTACCTCCTCTAGTCTCATTTGAGAGATAACGGGACGCCCCCGCTGCCGATTGACAGCCGCCTCCTTTTCATGTGAGACGAGAGGCATGGCATGGGAGGAGGAGCATCAGGCGTGGACTTAGCCGTCCGAGCATGTCCGGTCGACTTTCTTCTCTTCTTTGTCGTTCGTTGCTCTGCTGTGCGGCTTCCATCGCCACTCTCGTTGACCTCCTCCCATGAGTACACGTGGACTTTAGCCATCCGAGCATGTACGGTCAACGAGAGCAGCAATGGAAGCCGAGCATGTACGGTCCCCTAACCTCGTTCAAACTAACAAACATGGGACTTCAACGACAGAGAATAATGGGACTTTCCTGAGCACACGTCCTTTCCCGCCAGAATAATGGGACTTTTCTGAGCACACGTCCTTTCCCGCCAGAATAATGGGACTCCCCTGAGCACACGTCCTTTCCCGCCAGAATAATTGGACTTTCCTGAGTACGCGTCCTTTCCCGCCAGAATAATGGGACTTCCCTGAGTGCACGTTCTTTCCCGCCCAAACTGGTGGCTCAGGGAAGCGACTTCCCTGAGTACACGTCCTTTCCCGCCAGACAAATCGGACTTCAATTACACGCCGACGCCGAGCCATCTCGTCTCGGTCGATGTGTGGTCTGACTGATGTGCATTTTCCACGGTGGCTCTCCGCAGTTTATTTGCGACGTGTTTTTCCGTCCATGCCTGCACTTGTGAAAAAGTGAGATGGAACAATTACAGTAGTTGCGTGGACCCCCCCCTGCTCTGCCTTGTGATGGGGGCTTCGGCTGCGATGATAATGGCCACACCGATCTCCATCACGTCAGTAAAAATGATGGTGAGGATGACGATGATGATGGACGATTGGAGGTTAGTGCTTGTTGATGAAGGATATATGATTATGACGATGATATTGCTGATTGATGATGATTGGTGATGATTGATGATGATTGAGGCTTAGGCTTTTTTCCCCTGTTGTTCCCGTGTCGTCATCGGTGCGAAGGAGGGAGGGTGTGGGGGTGTGGGGGTGTGGGGGGGACTTTCCAAAAAGGGAAGCCGACCGCTGTTTCCCACGCAACCTCTAATGATGATGATGATGATGATGATGATGAGCATGAGGAGGTAATGATGGGTGATGATGTGGGTGTGGGTTGTGCTGCCGCCGCTTGGGGCCGTTGCTGAAGGTGCAGCTTGTATAGGATGCTATGATTAATATCCCTTTCTGTCTCGGCTTCCCCCCCCCCCCTGTCTTGGCTTGACCTACCAAATCCGTCCATGATGATGATTAATAACCGACATGATAAAAAACCTGAAACTACCTGGTTCGTCCGTTAACTGTTGGAGTCAGTTCGAATTCCAGTGGAATCAGGTGAAAGTGAAAACAGCTCTGAATTTACCTGGGGCCATTCAGTTCAACGATGATATCTTAGAGCCGTCACGGATTTTTTTTTTTTTTTTTTTTTTTTTTTTTTTTTTTTTTTTTTAACGTGAATTCTTAAGTATAGTGCATTGAAAAGTGAGTTTTTGACTGCGTTGTATGGACTGACGCAGTAAAAAAATCTTTAAAAGGAAAAAAGGAAATACTACTATGGTGTGCAGCCACGTTTTTTGGGGCCACTCTGTCCAAAACGCGCATTTTGGGGCCACTCTGTCCAAAACGGACATAGGCAGGCTCTCTATTCGCGCGAGAGGATTTTCAAATTGGCTGTAAGAATTTTCGAAATTTGCCATTGTGCCTTTCAAATTCGTCGGGAACGGAACGTCTGCTTTGCATGGGAGAGCTCACGAACTTTGCAAACCCTGCCAGTCATATATTAACAGCTGCATGCAGCAGTTTTTTGCTTGGTATCTGTAGCGCTCACTGTCTCACCGCAGAGCAACCAACAGCACACTCTGCACGGTAGAGCCATCGTCTGTTCCTGCTGCACACCGATCTTCTACCTTCTTCAACCCGAATACAGCGTCCGGTCATTCTAGCTGTATTTGTACGGCCATTATAGCTGTATTTGGGGTATCTGTCAGTCTAAATACAGCAATAATGACCGTAATTGTTAGTATTTTTAGCGAGGGGGGGATGGGAGATTGCTGGTTGCCCAATTATTAAACTTTGCTCTTCTGTTTTGCCTATGCTGCTGTTCCGCGGTCACTCTGGTTGCTGTACAGGATTTGCTTTGAGAGCTAAGCTGGGAGGAAGCCCCGTTTTGAAACATTCTCCTTTTCCTTGATTCCTGTATCCCCGCCAGTAAGTGTTCAACTTCCTGCTTCAAGTTTTCTTCTTGTACCAAGTGAAAAAGGAAAAAGAAGAAGGGCAAATCATTAAAAAAAGAAGGGGGAGAGAGAGAGAGAGAGAGAGAGAGAGAGAGAGAGAGAGAGAGAGAGAGAGAGAGAGAGAGAGAGAGAGAGAGAGAGAGAGGGTCTCTATGCTCCCTATCTGTACAGCAGCAGCAGGTGCTGGTTGTAAGGTACGATGGCGAAGGGAGCCAACCTGGACATAAACTGCATTGTCATTCAGGTCTTGAACTTTTCATGTATCATTCTTTATTTGCTGGTATATATGCCATTTTGTGTCCGAGAAGGTACATGTGATCTGGCAGGGTATTGCAATCCAAAAATGGACGTGATTCTTTTCTTTTTTTTCTTTTTTCTTTTTTTTTTTGTTTAACACAAGGCCCGACCTAGTCTTGGGGGCAAGCATGTTTGTACATCCAAAGAAGGGGGGAGATCAGAAAAGGGGAACAGCCTAGCCCTTGTGGCATTGATCGTCTACCAGGGGGGGACCTGTGAAAGGGGGACCACCCCCACAAACCATGGTCTTTCTCTGGGGCTCACCTGCAGTTCCTCAGGCCGCATATCAAAATCCGCAGATTACTATGTCATTATTATGTCATCGCTTCCAACTTGGTCTACCTTTGTCCAGCTATCATTTTATCTATCTTGACCTATTTGAACTGCCTTGTCAGCACACAACACCCCTCTTGCCCCACCGTACCTTTTTCTTAACTAGCTCCATGGCACTTACTATCTCTATATGCCTTACTCCCTAAGCTTGTGTCAATAATACAATGTATCCTTGTACAGTCTCAAGGGACTCCACACCAGTATCCCTCCTGCAGTGGCAGTTATGATCGTCCAAGCGCGTTCTAACCCACACTGTCTTTACTGTTCCTACACACATGAGCAAAATCTGTCTGGAGGACCTCAGAGATCTGTATTATTAGCTAGCTGGATTTACCCTCTGTGAGAGAGTATAGCTGAGGTAGCATCACCTTTGTTTACTGTTCGTTGCTGTTGCTGTCAACATGAAAGGTATCTTTAGCTGGCCATTATCAATTATTCTTCTGATGCATTTTCTTTTCCCGGTTTGGTGATGGCCATTCATTTTGGTCTTCCTGTCATTTTGGATGCAGAGCTGGCGAGGAACGTGATTAGAATCGAGCGGGTTGTGAGGCCTACCCCGAGGCCAATGGGTCTGTTTGGAAGGCAGCGGCCTTCAGCTAGGGTGAATGAGGGGGATCCAGGTACCCCAACTGTGGTTTCACCGAATCAAACTGGTGGAAGTCAGTCTAGGCGGAATGATGCAGACACATGCCGCCCAAGAAGTTGGCTGAGTGGGATGGCTGACTTTGGAAGACCTCAGCGGGCGTTTGCAGAGGAAGATAGTCTTGTGGATGAAGAGGAACGGATCCAAGTGGAAGAAGCCGTGCGCGAGAGCCTGAAGGTGCACGTGTGTTGGAAGTTGTCACCACAACAGCCCCTTTTCAACCGAGATGAGTAGATCCAAAATTGAAACAGCTACACCTTCGTCTTCTATAGCACAAAACACGAAGCACACCAGAGATTAACACTTTTCTTTCAAATTGCCACTTCACCCAACCCGCCCAAAATTTTCCAGGTACTGCCCACCCCCTCCCCTCCCCCCAAAAAGAACTCTTTAAGGTGATCCGACCCACCCAACCTTTATTCCAAATTTTGCCCCCAGGCACGACCTGCCCGACACCCATAAAAAACCTTCACCCGGACCCACCCGCACCCACAAGAAAATCATTACCTGCCCGCACCTGGTGACGTGGGCCTTAGTAGATAGACAGTGCCTTTGCGCACCAGAGAGAGCGAGAGAGATAGACATTGCCTTTGCTCTCTAGACACACAGAGAGAGAGGGCGGAGAGAGAGAGAGAGAGAGAGAGAGAGAGAGAGAGAGAGAGAGAGAGAGAGAGAGAGAGAGGCTGTTGCTGCCCCACAGCCGTTGCTGAGGTGTTGTTGTCTGGTTATGGTAGCGTGTTGCTGCCTTGGCACCCTGTTGCCCTGCCTCCTCCTCCCTGCTGCTCCAGCAGCTACACCTTGCGCTGTCCTTCTATGACGGCCCTAAAATTCATGGCTCCACAATTTCGAAATTGGGGAGTGAACCTTGCCACCTGATGTGGTTAGGTTTGCTCCCTGTTGTTTTAAGGGAGCAAACATCTCGCGACCAGGATGTGGACCAACTGCCACGCCGAGGGCAGCATCTTTTGTTGGAGGATCCCAAAGCTCAATGTGCCTCTGGCGGCAGCACCCCGACTGTCTTTTCCCGGGGAGCCGGCGAGTGGAGCCTTCACGTTTCGTGGAACTCCAACTTTCAAATTCATAAGCGGATCGCAGCTGGAAACGGTGGGGGAGAAGGGGAGGCGGGGGGGGCACTGTAGGTTGTGCTGGGTGACTGGGTTTATAGGTCGGGTGACCCCGGCCTGGCACTCACCCGCCTGTCACCCACCCATTTGGGTGACCCAGGCCTATCACTCGCCCCCCATCACCGGCCCAGGCTGGCTTACCTAGAGCCACGCGAATCCCACCCAAGCCAGCTTATCAAGGCACACACCCGACCTAACGCCTTTGTGGATGTGGGTGCGTGCGGGTGTGTGCGGGGCACCCATTGCTCACCGGCCCAGGCTGGCTTACCTAGACCCATGCGAATCCCACCCAAGCCAGCTTATCAAGGCACATAACCGACCTAACGCCTTTGCGGGTGCGGGTGGGTGCGGGTGTGTGCGGGGTACCCATTGCTCACCGGCCCAGTCTGGCTTACCTAGATTCACGCGAGTCCCACCCAAGCCAGCTTATCAAGGCACACACCGGACCTAACGCCTCTGTGGGTGCGGGTGTGTGTGGAGTACCCATTGCTCACATCTGAAGCACACTATCACCATTCTATTGCCTTGTGCAGTTCTTTCTTCACTTTGGCTTTTCTAGGGGTTTCTCTTTTATTTCTTTCGTTTTTTAGCTCCCCTTTTACTCTGCCTCGCACATACAAGGCTCTGCCATGCTGATTGTGGTTGAGCGTGAGCTGCCCACATACCCATGTGCCATAATGGCCCACTTGCACATTCTGAAAAGGAGGCAGAGTAAAGGGGCAGGGGTATATTTTGTCTGTTCTGTTTGTGATGCTCATCCCGGTGCCTTTAGTAGTTCTGCATGGGGGGAGGGAGGACGGAGAAAGGGAAGGGGAAGGAGATAGGGGGAAGAAGAAGAGGAGGGAGAAAGGGAAGAGGTGGGAGATAGGGGGATGAAGAAACAGAACAGAGGGGGGGGGGGGAGGACTATTTTGAAGGGTTCTCAGTATACTCCAGCGGAGCAGACGACTACAGAATGGCACAAGAGGTCAGTATCTGGGTTGCCGAGCAAAACAGAAGTTGAGGAGTGGGTGTTGCCTATGGTAAATGGCCACCCCTGCAGACTGGACAGGACCGGTTCGGGGTGGACTGTGGAAATACTGCATCCAGTTCTTGCATTTGCAGTTGCTGCATCGATGTAGACAGATGTCACAGGCAACATGGCTTCTGCATGCCAAAAGCACAGAGGCACTCCAACTGCAATTGTATAAGCATTGCCTTTGTAGCCCGTCTACAAATTGGACATCCCTTGTCAGGGTGCCGTATATGAGTACAATGTTCACTGTCATCATATTTATGAAAACAAAGACTTGCATGGGCTATACCATCACAATCCTCACGACAGAAAAGCATGCCGTTAACATGCTAGCCGAATTTCAAGTGGGCCATCACAGTGTGGCATTGAGCAATTTTCTCAGGGTTCCGTAACTGATGTTCCCTCTCTATGGACAGGTGATGAGGGGGACTGATCCATAGTAAGGGTATTGAGCTGTTGCAAGATCTGGTCTGCAACTGCTTTCTCTGGGGGCGATAACCTTTCAGTACGGTGCACTGTAGGTGGTTCCTGTGAGAGTCTGTTCTCCATCTCAAGCTGCTGCATCTGGTCCTCTTCCGTCAAGGATGGAGGGGGTCCGTTTAAAGGTGCAGCCAGAGGATGCCCAACATTACGTGTGGAACATGAATGGAGAGGATGCAGTAGAGGTGTGTGTGTGTGTGTGTGTGTGTGTGTGTGTGTGTGTGTGTGTGTGTGTGTGTGTGAGCATACCAAAAAAAAAAGACATAACCACGGCTGTGCCGACTGTTTTGCTGGACGTTCACTGAATCATCAGGAGGTTGAACCCCAACAGTCTGCCCTGGAGGCATTTGACTGATGGATAAGGACTCAACACATCACCCAGAGTTACTGATACCCTGAGAAAAATGGTCGACTTTACTCACACCGACCCTGCAATGAAATGAACTAAAGAATTTTGAACTGGGAAGGAAGGGAGGGAGGGAGGGATGAAGGGAGGGAGGAGGGAGGGAGGAAGGAAGGAAGGAAGGAAGGAAGGAAGGAAGGAAGGAAGGAAGGGAGGGAGGAAGGAATGGAGGAAGGAAGGAAGGAAGGGCAACGGTGACTTCACGTATGGACATGCAAGCAAATAGAGTAAGTAAGAACTTGCTAAGAAGAAAAGAACTCTGTGAACCAGGGGGGCTGGGGGGAGGGGGGAAGGGGGGGGAGGGGGGAAAAGGGGGGAGGAGGTGTACATTTTTGTTGACAATCTGTTGCGAGAGTTGACAGACTGGAAGTCTTAATCAAACACATCAAACAGCTAGCTAGCTTGAAATCTTCCTTAGCAACTGATGGCTAGCAACTGATGGCTAAGGAGATCAGGAGTCAGTTGTATCTGATGTGAGGACTTAAATGAGACTGGGACTGCCTTGGTTTGCGGTTGCGTCGGTACATGTAACTTGCATTCTCGTCGTCTTTCTGGTCCCGGTTCATGTAAACTCGTTTTTTTGCCTTGCAGGACCGTAAGCGTGTGCGGACAGGCACAGGAAATGATGATCTGGAGTATGCAATGGCTCTCTCGATTGAAGATGAGGAGCGGCGAAGAGGTATTGAATGTCCGAAAGAATGCGGCTGAACCGCAAGTTATGATAGTTTACTACAATTTGGTGTTAGTGATTCTTCATCCACCATCCAAACCAAGTGAGTTACGGTTATAGCTAATGGGCTACGGTTCATTGTTACCGAGTCTTTGACCTCCTAAAGGGAGCTACTTGAGTGCTTTACCACACTTCACAAATACACAGTAGAATTACCGAGTCTTCCACAGTACAAAGAGAGCTACTGAGTGTTTTACCAGCCCTCATGCGTGTATAATATAGTTACTGAGTCTTCACACACACACCTGATGAGAGTTACTGAGTGATGCACTGCCAGTGGACACAGAATTGTTTGCATGTGATTCATCACCCTCGAAAACTGCAGGTGGATCTTCGCTGCTCAGTCTCCCCTCCTCCCCCCGCCCCTAACCCCACCCCCTTCCTTCGCCAGTGACTTTGTTTTCTCATGAGGGTAGTCGTTGGGTGAATGATGGTACACGATTGAAGGCTGGGAAATAGAGTGATGGCACATGTCGATCTTCCAGCTGACAGGCTGACATATATATGTCCATTAGGGCCCAGAGTTTTCCAATTGTGAAGTTTGCTTCATGAGCTACAAAATGGAAAACTCCTCTTCTTCAGATGCAGTCTCATTTCTTTTATCCTGGGTTCCCATCCTCGTCCAGTTCTAATTGGTTTGCCTTTGGAGGAAATGTAGCCAATTTCATGGTATACTCTCTGTGAAGTCCCTCCAACCTATACCTTCTAAAGTTAAAAACGGGCCCCGACTAACGCCCCCTGCCGGGTCCAGCAGAAACTGAGGGCGGCCGCCTGCTTTTCTTTTCGCGTCGGGAAAGGTGCCAAGCAATGCGCATCATGGTGGCCCCGATGCGCTGTCTCACGTTCAAATACAAGTGCATAGCAATCGCCAGTTTGGTCTTGTTCAGGCCTGATTTGGGACATCGTGCAGTTTTGTCTTTTCCTCTGTCCTTTTCTGATTCTGACGCCGCTGCAATCGAACAGGCTCCTTCCTCTTCAGCACTCACCAAATGCTAAAAGGAAAATGAATAATGGGCGAGAACATGGAAAGATACACTGCCATATTTTTTAGGGTGTTTGTCGCTGTCAGAGGCCACTGCAATCGAATATGGGCCTCACTTCACCACTCACTAGTCGCTGCCCTGTAATAGAATATGTACCTTCCTCTTCACCTCTCACCAATGAATTATAGCCCAGAACATGGGAAAATACATTGCCATTTGTTAGGGTGTTTGTGGGCCTTGCTTCAGCGCTCACCAAATGTGCAAAATGGAAATGAATGGCCGGCCAGAACATCAAAAAATACATAGCCGTTCGTTTTCAGGGTGTTTGTTGTTTTCTGGAGCAGCTCCAATTGAACACTGGCCTCGTTCTACCATTTGCCAAATGTGCAAAATGGGAACGAATCTTCTCCAATCATCAATGGGCCAGGCTCCACCAAATGAATCTTCTGCTGGACCATGGAAAGATACCCCTGTTATGATCGTGGCTATCTTGAAGTGCAATAACACAAAGAAAGACAATGCTGTTCAATTGCAACTGAAATGAAAGAACTTGGGAAGAGAAATAAACAAAGGAAGAAGAAAAATAAAGAATAGGAAACGAAGAAGAAGATGTACACCAGCAAAGACTAATGTCAAATCCCCCTCCAACTCGCCATCTCCTCCAACCTCCTTATCTTCCCTAATCTCCTCGTTACAATAAATAATAATAATAATAACAATGAACGAGTGAAACAGAACCAATGCTCGAATCTCCTCCTTACTGGCAGCAACACATGAGGTCCACCATAGCCATGATGTACACCTTCCTCTGCCTCCACCTGGTATATGGCTACGGCCTACTAGCGGAGCCCGGCTGCGATGTTCAAAGGACAACACAAAGCTGATATGTCCTCTCTACTAAGGACGCCATGCCTAACTCGCCCTGAAGACTTCCTTGATGCAGCGCAGCCCCACCGGGGCCTTCCAGATGCAGCACCAGGCAAGAAGATGAAGATGCCATCCACCATAGCCAGGTATGTACCTCTGTCACTCTCCTCCTAGTCCACCTTCGTTCTCCTCCTTCCTGGTCTGCTCCACCATAGCTGCAGGTGGAGGACCAGGTCACCTCCTTTTATCTGCAGTGCTGGCCTTGCCGAGCGCTCACTCCAGCGGCGTGACGCCAACTTGCAGACCGCAAAATGAGCAGGAAGACTTCGCTCTTCCTCAATATATACCGAGCAGCTGCCTCTTGGGTGGTGACTGTCCAGGCCGCTCGGCCTCCCAAGCATCTGGTACCTCCCTCCTTTCGGAGGAAAACATCATTGCGGGTACCTCCCTCCCTCCTTTCGGAGGAAAACATCATTGCGGGTCTGATTTCGTCCACTACAGGCCCTAGACTCAGACTACTGGAGCGGTAGCCCTAAACCTAAGCCTACTGGACTGCTGAAATTCACTCAGCCTCTAAAGGTACTAAGTTTTTGTCTTCTTCTGCCGACGTATCCACTACTCAAGTATTTGCCTACCTGCGCGGGCCTAGCCTACCTGCTACTTGAGTGTTTTCCAATTATGCGGGCCAACCTACCGTTACACCCCTATGCAATCCGCAAAGTCACAGGCACAGGTAAGTACCAGGCCCGAGGGCCTTCCAAGCATACAAGTACCCTGGCGGGTCACACTTACACCCAAGCAATCATGAACTCAGGCAATCATAGTGAAAAAACTGTGAAACCCAGCAAGCACACACACACACGGACTTCGAGACCTCAGAAAAAAGCGGAAATCTCGGTAAGTCACACATTCCAGCGGCAAAACTCACAAATCAGCAGAGTTCTCAGTCTGTGATTTTGCAGGTCATCACACACTGCCATAAGGTTTGTCTTTTGTGCATGCGGCGAGTGGTGAATGAAGAAAAGAAAAACAAAAAATCCAGCAGCCCATGTAGCATAGCCTGTGTGCCCCATGCTGTACTACCCAGCCCACATGGTGCTATCCAGTCCACATACTATGACCTACTCCACACAGTACGGCCAACCCACAAAGTACCGCCTATCAGTAGTACCGAACAGTCCACATAGTATGATCCACCGCACATTGTGCCACCCAACCCATTTAGTATCACCCAGGCCACATAATGCCACCCTGCTCACATAGTACCGTCTGGTCCACATGGTTTGACTTTCCCTTGACATAACTGCAAGGAACATGAATATGGACGAAGCACAGAAATCCAGATTGCAAAATCACACTGAAGTCCAAGTAGTCAAAGCAAGAGCAGATAGCACAATGGGACCGAGTAACCATCCATTTGAGAACAATACAGAAGAATCGTGAGTCAATGTCCAAGCCCAACAGGGCAACACCAACAGCATAACCCAATGTAGCTCTCTCTCTAAATGGCGCCAGGTGCCCTACCTACTCTACAGCCTATCACTACAACTACAGTATGAAGCAACCAGACAACTTGACGGCCAGCGAGTGATGATGTCAACACCAATGCCGACCTCCACCTCCACCAGGTACGTCTCCTCCTTCACCCACACTCTCCCTTGTTATCCCACACAGCGCCCTTCACCTCCGAAGAACCACCTTCGCCCTCACCGCCCCTGCGCCCTCAGGCAGCCCGGCTATGGCCGCCAGCGCCCTGCGCACACAGGCAGCGCCCTACCGCTTTAGCGCTAGCCTGCTCCCTCAGCCTTAGCGCAGCACAGCAGCTCGCGTTCGTGCAGCATGCCGGCATTGACCGCACTGGCCAAGATCCCTGCCCAATCGCCCTGCTTGCCTATATGCCAGTGTTGCGTGTGGGTGGCCTCCCTTCAGCCTGCGACTGGGCCCCAGTGCCTGAAAACAGGCCCGATGCAGTTGGGGCCTGGGTGATGCAGTTGCGCCTCTTTCGTCAAGGCCTGCGGCCAGATTCAGATAGTGGGCCGATTTCCCTTTGGCATTTTCGGCCTCTATACCCAGCATGCATTGTTGGCCTCACGTTCMAGTGCCCAGGGCCTAACTAACTCAGAGGCCCTGGGATCTCCACATTTGCAGAGATTCGAGACTCGGTGCACTCCAACCAACTGGCGTGCTGCAACTGTATGAGCCCCACTTCGTGAAATGTTTGTACAGAGGGCTCTTGTTGATTTGCTGGCCCGCCTTCGCTTAGGGCGGGCACTAGGCTTGCTGGGGCCTTAGTCCAGAACATGTACATCATGGCAGGGCCCCTTCTTGAGGGCTCAATCCTCACATAACCCACATCCATAGAGTAGTGTGCGCTCCTCATGGTTTGAACCGCCCCATGTGGTCCGACCCAACCCGCATAGTCTCAACCAGGCCACACAATACCGCTCGGCCCACATAGTGCTACCAGGCCTTGGTGAGGACCAAACTCCACCTCATGTTGGTGATGTTTTTCACTTTTTTTTTTTTTTGTCATGGCCTCCACGTCCGCAGCAGGATCCACTTGTTTTTTCAAAGGTAAAGCTCCGAACCTCCAACCCATTGATCCTCTTTTTGTTCTTTTCTCAGCTCCTCATCCATTTTTCCCATCTTTTTTTTTTTTTTTTTTTTTGAGAAAACGGCCCCCTGCAGTGCTAGTGATGCTGGTTGAAACAGGCACCACTAGCACCCGGGGAGAGGCTCCATCTATTGGTGGGGAGTGTCACCTGCTGGAAAACGGGTCCTCTCCAGACCTATATCTGTTGGATCTCCCATACCCCCTATTCCAACCAGGCACCCGATCGAGAGTGCTTAGATGACAGATTCTGGGAACCTCCTTGTGGGTTGGGCAAGCATGGGTTCAGAGTTCAAACAGAATAAGGGCTGTCAAGGGATGACTCTTTTTCATCTTTGGGCCTCTCACTTTGGCCGGAAAGTAAGAACCCCTGTGCTCACTATCTGTTCCTACCGAAAATGCTTTAGTCAGCACCATAGATTATGTTATTGTCTGAGTGTCGTCTCCAAGTGCCCACCGAAGCCAGCAGTACATACGTTCTTGCTCGA